AAAAGAAAGGTTGAACACGAAATTGAAGAATTGAACGCGAACTTGTTCCTGATCCTAAAAAAGTGATTGAAGAACCTGATTTTGGAAAAATTGAATTGATAATTTTTTTGAAAATTTTTTAATAAGCGTACTTCATTTAAGTAATTATAACCTTAATTTTCTTAGCTATTTCATAAAATACAAAATGAATAATAAAAAAAGTAAAATTGAAACCTTTAACTCCGTGTCTGATTTAATAAAACACAAAAAAAGTAAAATTGAAACCTCTACCTCTGTTTCTGATTTAGTAAAACTCAGGAAAAGTAAAATTGAAACTTCTGCCTCCGTGTCTAATTTAATAAAATCCAAAAAAACTAAAATTGAAATCTCTACCTCTGTATCTGATTTAATAAGTAACTTTAATATAGTTTCGGCAGAATTTCGCTTTTCGGCGAAATGCCATCTTGCCTAAACCCCTAGGTTTTGGCAAGCAACTTTAACCGAAACTTACTTTACAGAAACTTACCATTTTTAATTAATATAGAATCGATATCGTTAAGTTTATCTTAACGGTATCATTTCGATATCATTTTGATATCAAAATGATATCAAAATGATATCACTTGAAAACTTAAAGTTTCTGTAAAGTATAAAAAAATAAATAAATAAAAACGGTTAATAAAAAAAATAAAATAAAAAAACTAAGTTCGTAATAACTATGAACCTTAGTTCTTTAAACCTAGGAGCTGTCTCTAAGAAAAAAAAAAGAAAAAAAAACATTAATAAATGTTCTTAAACGAAATTAATAAAAAAACTAAACCTCCACTTACTTTTCATTCCAGACGTCCATTTCAAAATCTGGAAAGTTCACTAGTGATGTATTTATTATTACAATTTAAATTAAAAAATATTGTCAAAAATGTTGTCAAAAATATAACAGATATTATTTAGTTTATCTTGATTTAGAATATACAATAAAAAAAATAAAAAAAATGTTAGTAATTGAATAATTGGTAAATCAGATCAACAAGTTACATGATTTGTATGACTGACATTAATAAGGTTGCTTGCCGAAACCTGTTTGGCCTAATGCCAAAAGGTGAAACCTCTTATATAGTGCTGAAACGCTGAAACGCCGAAACTGCGAAACCTATTAAAATTGTGAAACTGCTGAAACATGCCGAAACCTCAATAATAGGTTTTTCCGTAGTTTCGGCATAGTTGATCATAAGATTTGCATATAGTTACGCTAAGTTACACCAATTAATAATATAATTTAGATGATCAAATAATCTACAGATAAAAGATTAAACTTCAATATTTTACCGTCGTCTTAATTCTTTTAAGTTTTATCTAGTGTTAAAATTTTCATTTCTAACTCCCATATTAATATTATGATATTACACGTTTTTGCAGTTTTTTTTAAGGGGCTTATATTCATTAAAGGAAAATGCGTAACATGCATTTAATAAACCCAATTCCATCATTTCCTTTAACACTGAACTAAAGTTTCTTTTACTTTCTTCTGTTTTCTTAATAATAAAATTAATAATAAACTGTTTCAAATGACTGATCACATAGAAGATTTACCTATTAAAAAGAAAAATAGAGGAGGTCGGCCACCTAATAGCATTTGGGAAGATATTAATAAAGGAGAAGCTGTTGGTTCTGGCAAATTTGCCGCCTTCTGCAAGTACTGTAAGAATACATGGTCACGCAGTGAAATTTTAAAGCTCGAAGAGCATCTTTCAAACCATTGTCCAGATGCGCTAGCAGCAGTTGTTAGAAGGTATATGACTAAAGTAATGGAACGGCAAGATAAGTCCAAGTTATCTAAAAAAAGAAAATACTCTGAAGGTCAAAGTAACATGGATGATTATCATGATTCAACAGAGCTTAACGAACAAAGATGTACACGAATTAATCGTGCATTAGTTAAATTTTTTATTGCGTGCGGAATTGCGTTTAGAGTAATGGAACATCCCTTTTTTATCAATTTTATAAAAGAGCTTAATGCCGGATATAATACACCAACAAGGGAAGTATTAGTAAATCAACTACTTGAACGTGAATTAGCTCAAGTGAACTTCAAAGTTAATTCTGAGCTTGAAAAGGAAACGAATTTAACGTTAGGTTTGTTAAATTAAATATGCTATTATATGTTATTTTTATTTAATCTTACTTACTATATAATATTAATTTATAATTTAGCCTTTGATGGTTGGACGTCTGGTACACATCGTTCAATTTGGAACTTCATTGTAATGATTCTGTCGCGTAAAGAATATCTTTATCAACTTTCTGATTTGTCTGAAAATTCGCACACTGCAGAATATTTAGTTACGGTAATTGAAAAGGTTATAGAAGGTATTGGAGAAGATCGAATATGTGCAGTAGTTTCTGATAATGCGGCCAATGTTCATAATGCACGAAAAATTATACATGAGAATCATCCAAAGATTGAGAATGTGCGATGCATTGCACATTCTATCAATTTAATTGCATGCGACATCGTCAAGGAGAAGTTTGGGAAACGTTTATTAAAATGTGTTAATATTTTGACAACCTTTTTTAGAAGTTCTCATCAGGCTAATGCAAAACTTGCTCAAATAATTAAAGAAAAAGGAATTAGTGGAGGAGGATTAAAATTATATTGCAAGACACGCTGGACTACTGCTAGTGAATCCGTAAATTCAGTAATAAATTTGGAATCAGCACTAGAAGA